TGCTTTATCTTTAAAATATTGATTTCTTAATTTTGAGTTGGAAAAGTGGGGGTCATCTTATACATGAGGGGGTCTTATAGATGGAAAAATACGGTAGCTATTGGTTACCTGCAAGAATTTTGGATTAAAATTATCCCATATTAACAAATCAAAAGTTAAATATCTTAAAGAATAATATGTGTATTTCTTATTATCTTAAGATGTGGTTAACTCAACAAAAGATTTTTTTTTTCCATGTTGATTGAGGACCTTCAGACAATGTTGAAGGGTTATGTTCATGCACCTCAGACAATGCTGCCTGCCAAATGCATTATTCTGGAAATGTAAAAGGATGGAGGAAACACTTAGGCATATCATATAGACTTGCCCCATTATCATCCTGTTTTGCTTTAACGTTAGTAGAGTTTGGGGAAGAGTAATATGGTTGAAAGACGTGAAAATGATTATCAGTTATATACCCAATGTCTGGAGTCCATCTCTATATGAAGAACTGTGCAGCTTAGCAAAAGTATTATTTTTTTACAAGGGAAAGACAAGGCCATTCTGAATGTACAGAATGCTGTCCAAAGCCAGCAACAGCTTTGTGCCAAAACTGCTTTGCTGTGAGTTACAGAAGTGGGGTACGGCTTGGTTTATAAAGCCACATCCAAAGGGCATTTGTTCAAGGCTTGACTGAAGTGAAACACCCCTTTGAGATTTCACTTAAGCCTAGTGTGCTCATCTTTAAAACCTTAATTAAATGTATTTAATCCAGCTTCAAATAAGAGAACAGTGGAGAAATTATGAGCTTCTTCCAGGTACCACCTGACAAAAAGAGGCCTTGCTGATCACACATCTGAGTCTTCCTAAGGTCTTGTTCTAAAGAGACAGAATAAGGAGCTTCAAATTATTAGGAAGGGGGCCCTGTACCTGACCTGTCATGTGTCCTGTAATGCTCTGTATGTCATCCTTTCAGCACAAAAAAGTTTTCCCACTAGTAAAGAAAGATTTTACTTTATTAAAATCATGCTCAGGAAAAAAAGGACCTGATTAATTAGAAACTTGTTCGTAAAGGAAATGTAAGCATGGAGAAAAGCCATTATATCCAGCAAAGGGCATAGTTTCAAAAGACCAAAGGACCAATTACTGAAATTCCTTCTGTGAGAAAATTATGAATTTATTTGACTGCATATCGTAGACCATGATTATGGTGATTTAAGAGTTTTTCACTGCACCTACTTCCTTCCCTGCTTCTTTCTTTTTTCCATTTCATTTCCCCCCTACAGTGAAAAATTACATCATTTTTCTGGACATTTTCCTCTGTTTAACCTACCACCAACATCTGCCAATTTTATCAAGCTATTAATGCTTTTAGGTATTGCCACAATACATTATAGTCCCCTTTGTTTAAAAAAATACATTGTTAAAAGTTAACAATATAGAGCTAATTGAAATGTCAAAATATACATATTAGGATGCCTGCATGGGGACTGTGATTGTGCTAAAAAGGTAACACATGAAGCTATACAAATGTCGACACCATTCTAACACTGATGCCTCTAAATCAGGGATTTAGAGATTCTCAGGGATCCCTAAGAGATATTGGCTGTAATTTACCCCAAAATTACCCCTAAACTTAGATGTCCACATTTCAAGAACAAGCAGAACCCCAGAGCTTAAGTGGGCTCCTAGTGCTTCTTTCTGCAGAACAGTTCAGAGAAGGGCGAGCAGGAATTTGTCTGCAGCTTTTTCCCTTTCTCTTTTTTTCTTTCATGCTCTTTGAGCCTGTAAGAGGGTTTAAGGGAAAGGCAGAGCTTTATCTCACTTATCTCATAGAAATTAGGGGAAAGGGAAGCTTGGAGACATTTTGTTACATACATTCAAGAGAAAACAGAGTCCTTTTCTTGAACCCTCCCCAAGGCAAAGAGCTCAAAAAAGAGGCTGAGGTAGCAGTAGTGGAAAAAATCCTACACTCTTTAGTGAAAGGCAGTTCTTTTTCTTCCTTTGTAACAGTCTGGTTAAAAAAGAAGAACAGCAGCAGAAGAGCTCCAGCTACTTCTTGGAATCTCAGACTGTAGTGCAAGTAAAAGAAATCCATGCCTTCCTATTTGTCTGCATACTTGGGAAAAGTTTCTCCTATGAAATGTTTTTCAAGTAAAATGTATATTAAGCCCTAAGTAATGAAGAAATGATGGTTTTTTGGGGGGTGGAGGTATCAGTCTTGACTCCTGGTGATGGTCTGGAGAAGTCCCTGCAGTCTTCTTGGCAAGGTTTTTCAGAAGCGGTTTGCCCTTGCCTGCTTCCTAGGGCGGAGAGAGAGAGAGACTGGCCCAAGGTCACCCGGCTGGGTGAAATAACCTAGATTGGCTTTCCATAACGCAGGAACCTCCAGATATCCTGAGTTCGCAACCGCCAAAATGCCAAGCCAGTCTGGCCAATGGAATGTATCTAAAGGACACCAGGCTGGGGAAGGATAGACTAGATGACCTATGGACTCTTTGTAGCGCTACATTATTATGAAGTTTCAGCAGGATAGTGAAACTTCAGTGGAAGGCTATCATGGCTGAGTCATTTTGAAAACTATGAAGTCAAAACAGATAGAGGTTTAACTATTTGCATGTTCAGTCTGTATATTTCATGCGCAATATTTCTAAGCATACCACCCCAAGATTATCTGAGTATCCCTCTTTATATTTCAACCTCCATTTCTACCATCAACAAAATTGTCTGAAAACTAACAATTCACAAATCATGCTTATTTATTTATTTATGAAAAATTATTGTTGTTCTTCAAAACCAGGTTTTCCCATGTAATGTAAGTAAGTTACAATATCTATTTGCCTCTCATTTATTCTTGCAATAGATGGGAAGTAGAAATCACAGTTCTACTTGTATAACATCTGGATGATAAAAAGTATAATACCACCAAAGACTATTGTAAGAGAAAAGCAGTCATGTAGTAGATATTGATGGAGATAACTCTAGATAACTCTTAAGTCAGAAGCTGTCAGTTTTATCTGTACTTATTTCTACTGCACTTCTAATTTATTTGTTAAGTATATTTCTACCCTGAAGATACTGGTACACAATTCAGGGAGTTGTGTTCAAAGGATGATATTAAAAACACAGCATGAACTAGTAGGATCTGCAGAGCAAAGAAAGTTCTACCTGCTCGAGGTTCTACAGTCCTATTTGCACCTTCATCCATAAAGACAAACCGTCCACCACCAAAGTCTTCTGTATAGTCTGAGAGGTAAAGCAGTGATGTGTAATCAAAGGAACCATAGGTCACCTACAAAGGAAAAATAAAGTACTGAATATCATAGGGAATTCTTTGTACAAGCATGGGGGTTGTAGTGGATCTGCAGTTGTCATGAACACCTTGCTATTTGCCCATATAACTTTGAGAGCTGTACTGGTTACCAGTTAGTTTTCAAATGCAATTCAAGATGCTGGTTATCACCTTTAAAGTTCTTCATGGCTCAGAACGTGGGTATTTTGATCAGGAAGAGTAGGTCCTCCATGTCCTTTCCTTACAGAATGCCATCAACAAGGATCACCTCCTCCGTCACCGCCCACCTTCAATAATAAAGCATTTGCCCTGCGATTTGACTGGCCCCAACCCTTGTGAGATTTAGAAAGACCATTAACATTTGCCTGTTCCAGCAGGGCTGGGGGATGGATATAGTTTGAATTAGCTTCTCCTGTAGTGGGACTGTCTATTTATTTGATTGTTATTGGCACAAATAATGCAATAGTTTATTTCTGTTTCACTGCTAGTCTGTGTTTCAACCCTGTTTACATACGTTACTGAGAGTCGGCACTAACTGGAGCAGCATATGCAGCTAGTGAGTGAGTAAATAAATAAATATGTATATATTTTTTTAAAATTGTTTACTATAATTTCCATGCTGCTCTGTTCCTGCAGGCTCTAAATGTAGTACAATCAAAAAGAAAAAAAAATTAAAAGTTTAAGCTAGAATATAAATAAAGCTGAATGATTATATTCTGTGATTTCAATATTTTACTTTTGTTATTGCAACTTCAGATTCAATCAGAATTTGCTTTTTTTCACAGCCACATCACATTGCTGACTCATATTCAATTTGCAGTCAGCTACTAGTCCAACATTTTGTTCATAAACACTATTACTAAACCAAGTATTTCCACCTTGTATCTTTGTATTTGATTTTTTACTTCCTGAAGCACTTTGTATCTGTCTCTGTTAAATTTCATTCTGTAACTTTCAACTGATTTATGGAACTTCTCCTACAATATTAGCTATTTTCATTCTCATTCCTAAAGAGGAGCTATTGATGAGCACTGTTTGAATAGGATTTTTAAGCCAATTAGGCATCCGCTTAATTATCATACCATCCGTCCAACATTTAATTTGCTGATCAGAATATTATGAGATCCTTGGTCAAATGGTTTACTGAAATGTAGATAAATCACATCTGCAGCATTTTCACAATCTAATAAAGTAACTGAATTTAAAAAAAAAGTAAAGTTATTCTAGTAAGACTTATTCTTGACACATATATGCTTACTTTCAGTAATTACCACATTACTTTCAAGGTAATAGAGATCAGCCTTCCCACATAAAATCACTGACTGGTGGATAGTTTCTTGGATAGCCTCTTCCCCCTTTTTGAAGATAGGAACAACATTTGTTCACTTTCAATCATATGGAGAACTGGTGAAATGTCATATGATTGAAAGTGAACAAATGTTGTTCCTATCTTCAAAAATAATGCATAAGGGTTTGCCAGACCATCAGCTACTTCTTTCAGTATCCAAGGATGCAACTCATCTGGCCTTGAAGACTTAAGATTCACTTAAAGAAAAGAGGTATCCTCTCACCATGTTTTTTAAATTGTAGTTCTGTCCCTTCATCCTGCTCTTCATAATTTCCTTAGACAACACACAGATCCTTATTGGAGAAAACTGAACCAAAACAGCAGGTAAACAGTACTGCCTTTTCTTGTTTCCTGTTAGCCTTTTGCCAACTGCATTAGGCAGCTAATATATTAATTTGTAGGGTTTTTTTCCTATTATGTTGAACATATCTAAATAAAGTTTTCTTATACTTATTCCACTAACAGTAAATAGGATTTTCTCCATTTGTTTTAAAAACAGAACACAGTATATCCATGCCAAATACTCATATTATGTACAATCTCTTTTCAGAAGGAGAACTGTTATGTACCACATGTTTCAAACAAGAATAATTTTCTTCCAAAAATTAATGCTATCCTTCAGCAGCTTGTTTCAAGAATGAAAGAACATGATGAGACAGTAGCGTATACCAGTGAAAATATCTTTGCAGAGAGTTAGTCAATTGCTTGGCCAAAGTTGTTTCGCATAATTTCCCAATTATTTATGAAAGACCCAAGCGAGCCTTCCAGTGTATTGTTACTTTTATTCTAGCTGCTGCAACCATAAATTAATTTGTATAGTAACGGTAAATAGAACTGCCCTCAAATATGTGGTTTGAGATGTCTGTCTTAAAGTCCTTTGTAAGAGAAGCTCAAATGAAGTCAATACATTGCAACCATTTTCAGCACCATTTGACCTCTGTTGACAAGTGCAAATGAATTCCAACAACACAAAAAACATCCATACGCTTATGTCAGCAATCCACAAACTCCTCAAAAAAAAAATAGAGTGAAATGTCCATATGGTTTTTCAAATCCAATTGTCCATAAATTACTGAATAATCAGTATGTCTAATCTTACAGCTTTGAGAAACAATTCTATTTCTTACTTGATGATCACAATTATCTTACAAATAAATGTAATCTTTAAAATAACGTGGAACCTTCTTTTCAGAAAAGGTGTTCTTTCATCCTACTTTTTTTTATCTACTACAGTTCAGTTTTATAGATCACTGTGATCTAAATTGCAAAATGTGTGGCAGAATGTTAAGCTCAATGTTTTAGTGCCACACTGTCACTCACAACCAGTCAAGTGGAAAATAATAAATTATTCTCTTCCAATCACCATAAAGGTCTAGGCAAAGGTCTTGGCTGGATCAAGAAGAGAATTGCTCAGTCTTCTCCTGATGAATGTAACTTCAGAATCATAATGAGCCTACGACTTCCAGGGAAGAAATGGCAGAATGTGAAAAGGCTGTGAAAAGGCTGAAAATGGCTCCATGAAAAGTGGAGCTGATGACCATCGTGGAATGAAGAGTAAGCAAGTAGACCGGCTCTTCGATAATTCCTCTGGACAAGGAGGGGGCTTGAGGTCACCCACAAGTGCTCCAGACAGATGTTCCTCATAAAGAGACTGCAAGACAGCAGTCTCCAGCGGGTTTAGAGCACTGGGAGGGAATAGCCATCTTGCTCAAACTGCAGTTGGTGCCTTTGAAAGGACACTAGGTTTACATACTTCCTTTTCTAAACGCTTTCAGAAATTGCTTGTTAACTGCTTTTCAGCTATTAGGAACCCTTGGATTGACAGATTTTATAGCACCAGGTGAGTTTCCTTCAATCCTTAGCAAAATAAGTTTTAACTACAAGTTCAAGAACTTAAAAAAACTTTTTTTTGGAATAAACAGCAAAGGGGTGATTAAAACTTTGATTTTAGAAAGGTACAAATGGACTAAGGGTCCAGATAAATCTCAAATAAGATTTTGGAATTAATTATAAAGAACCCTTCCCATGGGAAAATGCTTTTGTTTGGAATA